ACCTATTCATAACGTTCACGTGTAATCCAAAATGGCCCGAAATACAGCGGTACATTACCAAGCGAAATCTCAATGCAGAAGATCGTCCGGATATTTTATGCTGTATATTCAAGATGAAATTGGATTGTCTAATAAAGGAAGTAAAGAATGGTGAGCTTTTTGGTCCTGTGAAATCAGGTATATATTGAATTCCATTAAACGCTATGTTTTTTTTTTATTTTACTTTTGTCTACGTATATCATGTTAAACTAATGGAAGATTATTATGTAAATGTAGTTATTTACACCATTGAATTCCAAAAACGTGGACTACCGCATGCACATATTCTAATATTCCTCAAGAACAAAGTTGACATGACGAGTCCGACGTACATGGATTCAATCATAAAGGCTGAGGTACCAGACAAGACAATGCAAATGAAATACTACAATGCAGTCGAGGAATTCATGGTTCATGGACCATGTGGAATCGCCAGAAGGAATTCTCAGTGCATGGTTAATGGAAAGTGTTCAAAGCACTTCCCCAAACGATTTGTAGCAGAGTCTAAGTTTGACCAGGATGGGTATCCAGTTTATATGCGTCGGGACAATGGTAGAACAGTCAAGAAGAATGGTATAGAACTAGACAGCCGATATGTTGTCCCGCATAATAGATATTTGCTTTTGAGGTACAAGGCTCATATCAACGTAGAATGGTGCAACCAGTCGAGATCAATCAAGTACCTCTTCAAGTATGTCAACAAGGGTAATGACCGTGTCACAGCAGAATTCTACAATAGTACCATCGATGAAAACGGTGAGGAGGTGGTGGATGAGATTAATATGTACTATGATTGTAGGTACGTTTCAGCATGCGAGGCAGCCTGGCGACTATTCAGTTTTGAGGTCCAATATCGGACACCGGCTGTTGGAAGATTAAGCTTCCACCTTCCAGATTGTCAGTCCATTGTATTCGCTGATGATGAAAATATTGATAATGTTTTAGGTCGTGAAACAGTGGGACAAAGTATGTTCAAAGGATGGTTCGAAGCCAATAAGAAATATGAAGATGCACGCTCATTAACATACATTGAAATGCCCAATAAATTTGTTTGGAAGAGAGATATTCGAGAGTGGCATCCAAGAAAGAAGGGGTTTTCAATTGGTCGCATCTTCTTCGTACCTCCTGGTAGTGGTGAAATATACTATCTTAGATGTCTTTTGAATATTGTTCGTGGACCAACCAGTTTTAAAGACATTATGACATTTAATGGGGTAGAATACATGACATTCAGGGATGCATGTTACGCACGTGGATTATTAGATGACGACAAAGAGTATATTGATGCAATTGAGGAAGCAAGTTATTGGTCATCTGGACATGCGATGAGAAAGTTGTTTGTTATACTATTGCTTTCAAACTCATTATCCAGACCTGAACATGTATGGGATGAGGTGTGGCATCATTTAGTCGAAGATGCTGAATTCATGCATAGAAAACAACTAAATAAACCAGGTTTTAGAATCGTGCATAAAACATATATTTAATTACATAATATATTTAATTACATATTACATATATATATATATATATATATATATATATATATATATATATATATATATATATATATATATATATATATATATATATAATATAATAACTAATAACTAATAACTAACAATACTATTACTTTTTTTTTTTTACTTTACAGATTTGATACTAAAAGAGTGTGAGAAAAAAAACTTCGGTTTAATTGAGCTAGAAAAATTGTTGATAATACACAATAAGTCTCTTAAAAACTTTCCTCCGATGCCAACACCTAACATGGATGATTCAAGATTGGTTGATAACATTTTGTTATTTGAGGAGTTGAACTATGATCGCGAAGCACTCCAAGCAGAGAGCGAAGAATTGGCATCAAGATTGACTGATGAGCAGAAAGAGATCTACAACACAATCATCCAAAATTTGTCTAATGGCAGTGGTGGACTATTCTTCGTTTATGGTTACGGTGGTACTGGGAAAACTTATCTATGGAAGGCGTTGTCATCAACATTGCGAGCTAGCGGTGATATTGTTATCAATGTGGCATCCAGTGGTATTGCGTCGTTGTTACTTCCTGGTGGTCGAACCGCTCATTCAAGGTTTTCCATCCCTATTGCAATAAACGAAGACTCCACATGTAATATTAAACAAGGTAGCCATCTAGCCGAATTGATCGTCCGGAGTAAATTGATTATATGGGACGAAGCTCCTATGATGCACAAACACTGCTTTGAAGCGTTGGATAGGACAATGAGAGATTTGCTTCAATTTCAAAATCCCAACAGTGCTGACCAAACATTTGGTGGAAAGACGGTGGTGTTTGGTGGCGATTTCCGGCAAATATTACCAGTTGTACCAAAAGGATCTAGACAGGATATTATTTCTGCAACAATCAACTCATCGTATCTATGGAACAATTGTAAGGTTTTGAGATTGACAAAAAACCTTCGATTAAATCGAAGCATGCCGGGGATTGACATGAAAAAACTAGAGGACTTTGCAGATTGGATTGCGAGTATAGGTGATGGAACTATGGGTGGTCAAAATGATGGTCATGCAGAGGTAGAGATACCAAACGAACTGTTATTACCATCTAATGGAGACCCAATTACCAACATAGTTGCAAGTACGTTCCCTATGTTCATGTCTGGGAATTCAGATTCCAGTCTTCTTGAAGGTCGAGCTATATTAGCCCCAACCCTTGACGTCGTTAACTCCATTAATGAATACATGAGTGATCTGCATACTGGGGATAGTAGGACTTACTACAGTTGTGATAGTGTGTGCAAATCAGACTCAAATGGCACCTTACTTGATGATGTGCACACTCCCGAGTTTCTAAATGGTATAAGGGCATCCGGCATTCCAAACCATTGTTTGAATTTAAAGGTCGGGTCACCTGTTATGTTGTTGAGGAATATAGATCATTCACTTGGACTATGCAATGGAACTAGGTTGGTTATTACGAAGTTAACAGATCATGTGATTGAAGGAAAAATTATGTCTGGAAACAACGCAGGAACCAAAGTGTTGGTCCCCCGAATGACTATGACACCATCAGATCCGAGATTACCTTTTAAATTCCAAAGAAGACAGTTTCCTTTAATGTTGTCCTATGCAATGACAATTAACAAGAGTCAAGGACAAACACTATCACACGTTGGCTTACTTTTAAAGAAACCAGTTTTTGTTCATGGTCAATTGTACGTTGCTGCTTCTAGAGTGAGCAATCCAGACGGATTGAAAATTTTAATTTGTAGTGACTCGAACAGTGTTAGTACGTCAACTACTAACGTTGTTTACCATGAAGTGTTTAATAATGTGTAATATTGTGTTCTTTACATATTATTATATATAGAATGATGAAAATTAGTTTTTGTTAAACATCAAATTGTTATTCATATTTTTTGGTTAGACAAATACCTTTAACATAATTGGCGTCCAATAAATAAATTCATTTTAGTCAATTGAAATACTACAAACAAATCGACAAAACTTAACCGTGCATCGCACGGGACAATACTAGTATATATATATATATATACTTTTCAACATTAGTTTAGTTTCTACTTATAAAATTGTATATTACTAAAACCGGTGCATATTTAATCAATTACTCAATTTTAAAATATTCTACATATTGTGTCATTACTTTCTAATTTAAAAAGGTGACACACACACATATATATAGGGGTTTAAATGAGAGAAAATTGGTTCTCTTATAAAAAGTGAATTACAATTGTTCATTAAGATTGATCAATTGTTGAGGATTTCAGTAAAAAAAAAAATACAAAATAAATTTTATTATTATTACAAATTTTTAAGTTTTTTATATTTATAAAATTAATCTTACCTCTTTTTTCTCTTATTTTCAACAATCTTCAACCATTGATTTATTTAAATAAATAAATGAGATCAATCATCCTTTTAATTTTAGATTAAAAAAAAAAATCAACTTGATAAGTCCGAAACTAATAAGCTCAATATGATGACTTGAACGAGTTAGCCCGAAATTTTGTGGACTAGCCCGATAACCCGAGTCACTTAAGGTATTTCTTTGTTATAGAAGTGATGTTGACTATAACATATATGCATGGAGTTTATAGGTAAGCTCATTTTTAGTATTTTTTTATAAATTTTTTAAATAAAAATGTAATAAATATATTACAATTGATATCCCCACCGTTAACATTACATTCTTCCAAAAGGTTGAACAGCCCCCCACACCCCGGCTTGACAGAGCATTTGGGAGGATGTAAATCATGGTGACTCAACTGAACATGAAACACAGAGGCTAGACCGGTGCTCACTGCGCACAAGAAGCCCCTCTCACTTTGAGAGGTTGCTCCCACACTGCCGCTGGTGAGACTCGATCCCTGGTCACCACCGTTAACATTACATAATTACATGTCGTGTAGTGAATGTATAAGGTGGCTTGTATCATTTACCCGTCGACGTTATGAGTTAACTTTTTCAAAACTCATCCCGCTCCACCGAATGTGGATATCCACTCTTACGTTTTTCAATTTTAGTTCAACGATTTTGCCCGTCCGACAACCCGAGGTTTAATGTTAGGGTCAACCTGACTAAAATAAATAAACCGATTAGTCTGACAACCCGAAATTCAACGGGTTGGTCCAATTAAGTGTCCTTAGATTTGGATAGCAGTTTTTTTTTTTTTTTTTTAAATAGGAAAACAAAAAAAAAAAAAAAAATTAAAGGGGCACCAAACACCTTATGTTCATATGACACTTCTGTAACTCCCCTTGAACAAAGGTCACATGATCAAAATTCGGTGGTGAAAAATGAATTCTCTTTGGACTGTAGTACTTTGATAAAGTATAAAACATATATTACTTTTGTAACAGAGTCAATAATATTTTTTTTTTTTTTTTAAAAAAAAACTAAAGGGACAAAATTGCAATAACCCCAAAATCCTTGCCCCTTGTTGAGGGTGGGCATGCATAAAAGGACACCTCATTTCAAACCAAAACACGAATCCCCCTTTTCAGACTCTCTCCTCTCTTTCTTCACTTTTCAAAACCCAAAACAAAATGCAGACTACTTCAAAAGCGCAAGCGGTTCTTTTACTGGCGGTGCTGCTCTCCGCCGCCGTCCAAATCTCCTCCGCCCTCACCGACGGTAAGCTCAGCTCTTCTCTCCGGCCTCCTCCATTATATAAGCTTCAAAATCTTTGCCGCATTTTGTCATAATTGTATAACTTGAATCCTATTCAAATTATTATTATTCTTACAATAATAAAGATATTAGGTGGTTAGGTGCATGAAATAATTTCATTGAAAACTGTCATTTATTTTTGGAAAACATTTATGAATTTTTTATTTTTGATTTTTTTTTGGAAAAATAAGAAAGAGAAAATTTTGGTGGTGGTTATCACTATCGGACTGGGTCATTTATGAAGGTTACAGATTGGCTAATTCTTAGCCTGTTTCTCTATGGCCTATTGGTCCCAAGTGTTGCATGTACATGTATTAAATGACTAAAATAACCTCGTCCCATTCAGCTGTATGTGACTCTAGATGAAAGGGTGTTCATGTCAATTACAGACAAGCATTTAGTACTTGGGTCTTAGGTAGTTCGTATTACGTAGTTCGGACTGAACAGCTATGCTCTTTGTTTATGACCATTTTTGTCCCTCCCAAACTCCAATGTGAACGTGATTATTATTTGGTTGGATCCTCAATTCCAAGGGTCCTACATCCTGGACCAACAAAATATTTGAGAGTATGTAAATTATGGCGACTCAATGACTCGACAGATAAGGTTAAAGAATTTAAGCCTCCAATCAGAATTGGAACTTATGACCATCCATTTGGAATGGTAATTGGGATGCCATTAGACTACATGATAGTTGGCAATTCATGTAAGAGTTAATTTTTTTTTTTGGTAATGTTTAGAAATTATTTTAAAAATATTATTAAGTATAAAAAAATTAAAAATATAAATTCAATTCGTAGTTGTAGCGGTTTATTTTGTTTGAGTCGATCAACTATGAACAATTTAGACTGGTTTATCTCTTCATGATTTTTTACTGCAACATTTTTCACGTTTTAGCGAGGTGCACGTGAAAGGCACGTGAGCGTGGTTGATTGAACTCCATTTGTGATTTTTGAATGGTAAATATATGACAGGACTACTAGTGAACGGGAACTTCGAAGCTCCGGTGAAGAAAACGGACCTAAACGGCACAATCGTGACCCGGCACGACGCCGTTCCGGGATGGACCGTGACGGGGTTCGTGGAGTACATACAGGCGGGGCAGAAGCAAGGCGACATGCAACTGGTGGTGCCGGAGGGGTTCGCCGCCGTGCGGCTGGGCAACGAGGCGTCCATCAAGCAAACGCTCAACGTCTCCAAAGGGATGTACTACTCCATCACGTTCTGCGCCGCCCGGACCTGCGCCCAGGAGGAGCGGCTCAACATCACGGTGGCGCCGGACTCCGGCGTGCTGCCCATCCAAACGCTGTACAGTATCAACGGCTGGGATTGCTACGCGTGGGCGTTCCAGGCTGAGAATCCCCAAGCGGAGATCATAATTCATAACCCCGGCGTGGAGGAGGACCCGGCTTGCGGTCCGCTCATCGATTCCGTCGCCATCCGAACATTGTATCCTCCCAGACCTACCAACGGTATGTTTCCGATCCTCTCTTTAAATCCTTATTTTAATATTAGAACAGTTGTCCCAACACTCATTAAAAGATTGGGTAAGAACATGAGTTTCCTTGTAAACAAAAAAAAAAAAAAACTTGTTTGGTAAATGACTTTTTGACTAGACTTTGACAAATTTGACTACATTAGTGATTTGCCCTGGAATGCCAAAAATTTCATTTGATTAACTGGTAATTTGGACAACATTTTGAGGACAAACTGCCAATTTCAAATTTTGCAGCGTTTGACTTAGGCAGTTTGCCGAAATATAATTTTGTTTTCATACTGCCACTCCCAAAGCGAGTATGAGGCTCTTTAATTTTATACTTATATTATACTAAAAGAAAATTATAAATATTAATAATAAATTAGTATTTAAAATTTGACTAGATAACATATTATACAATTAATAATTAACAGCTATTTTTTATTTATTTGTTTACATATTTACATTATTTATTTAATTTATTTTTTTATAATTAAGAATTATTATATAATTAATAATTAATTAAAATATATTTATATTTATATGTCTTTTGACATATTAACACTAATCATGAACAATTAATTTTTTCAAACATCTCTTTATAAATCTCTAAAATAATATGTTGGTCAAAATTGTTGACAGAATTCGCCAATCAATTTGTTAACTGCTAACTAATCATTATTTCATAGATCATGGTTCACACATTTGTGTGAATTATAAATAAAAAGTATATTATTTATATACATAAAATACATTATTTAAAAGTATATAATTTTTTATATATTATTAAATAATGTACATTCAGTATACAAATAATGTATTTTAATATATTAAAAATATATATTACATTCATGATCTACAAAGATATGTGGACTATAGTCCACCCAATAATTTGCCACTGTCTAACATCCAATAGCCAAACAAGGTCAATATATTTATATATGGGCAAGTGACTAAAAATTAAAATGTTGACTTATATTGCCATGTTTGGTAAAATAGTTAGTCTATTCGTCAATTTTGACTTATTTGATAACTATTAGTTATTTGACTTGATTAAACAATTAATAGAAGTATTTGATTAATTAGTTTTTTTTTTTTTGTAACAATTTATTTCTCTAAAATGTTAAAATAAAATAAAAAATGCTCAAACTTACTTTTTCGATTAACTCTACGTTCAGCTAATACCTATCAGATATTTACCAAAAATTCCATTATGATTTATTATGATATGGATGGCCTTTTGGACCACTTCTCATAGATACACTCATACACACATACAGGCCAGATTTATCATTTATATCGTCTGCCCAACCATTCACAACTTGAAACGCATATATACTGAACTAAATGTTAGATTACCTTATAGAATTAGATTGCTAAGAAAGTTGGACTACTGAGGATGTTGAATTTCTGTGTTTGGTTTAAAGCTATGATAGGTAAATAAGACAACGGTAATAAGATAAATTGATTAAAACGTCTAAAGCCCAAACAATAGTAATAAGACAAGAGAAGGTGAGATTACCTAAGAAATTGGAGGGTATCTCACATTCCTTTCCAATAGCTAAAAACTTATTGCGGAGGTTATTTGACATTCCCTGAGAATGTTACATAAGAATGTTACATAACCTGAACCAAACATGAGAATCTTATATTACCAAGCAAATATAGATTATCTTATATAACCTGAACCAAACGCCCCTAAATGTTTTTGGCCCATTTCTGTACTTCTCCAGGGTGCATCTTCCCTTCATTTACTGCATTTCTTCTTCTTCTTTTACATTGAATCTTTATTTATTTTTTGCAGTGAACTTGTTAAAAAATTGGGATTTTGAGGAGGGCCCATACGTGTTCCCCAAGGTAGACACCGGCGTTCTTTGCCCGCCGTTCACGGAGGACGACCACTCCCCGCTTCCGGCCTGGACGGTGGAGTCTCTGAAAGCCGTGAAGTACATAGACGCGGAGCACTTCAGCGTGCCCCACGGCCGGAGGGCGGTGGAGCTGGTGGCCGGGAAAGAGAGCGCCGTCACCCAGATCGCCCGCACCGTCGCCGGCAAGTTCTACGACCTCACCTTCCTAGTCGGCGACGCCAGCAACAAGTGCGAGGGGTCTATGGTGCTCGAGGCCTTCGCCGGACCCTCCACCCTCAAGGTCCCCTACGAGTCCAAGGGCCAAGGCGGCTATAAACCGGCCAAGCTCCGGTTCAGGGCCACCGCGAACCGGACCCGGGTCATGTTCTTCAGCACGTATTATCACACCAGGAGCGACGATTTCGTCTCGCTCTGTGGCCCCGTCGTCGACTTCGTGAAGCTCGTCAGCGTTCGCAACCCTCACCGGAGACTCGCCTGAAATTAGACGGCGGCGGTGGCGGCATCAAGTTAAGTGCGTACGAGGTTGTTGTATGATTGTTTGATTATACTAAGGAGATTTTTGTTGGTAGTATGAAGTGATGACGAGGAGAATTATATATATGTACCTTCAAGAAGCTAAGCCTAAGCATGCATGTTACATTGCATACTTTGATAATCTCTCTATATATAATATAATTAAGCTATTGAAAGTTGAAAAGATATATATGTATATTGTGTTTGTTGCTCAGTGCTTTATTATGTAATCCAACACAATAATGCAGAAAATTCATGATATAATTAACTCTTAGTTTAGGTTTGTTCAATGAAAATAAATTTGTTTGATTTAAGAGAAAACACGTCACCACTATTTAAATATGTATTTTTGACAGGGTTATAAAAATCGGTCTAGGCGCTACGCGCCTCTAGACCGTGGCGACTTCCCCCTAGGCACCCGCCTAGCGCTTAACTCGGTCGATTTGGCCGCCTAGCGTCTAAGTTAGTCGAGTTAACTCGTCCATTTCGATCGAGTTAACCCGATCGGCTCGGCCTTTTTTTTTTTTATTATATATATGTGTGTGTGCGCGCGCATACATATATATATATATATATATATATATATATATATATATATATATATATATATATATATATATATATATATATATATATATATATAATATGATATATATACACTCGTAGACTAGTTTGATACTTTGAATCTTTGGATGATTGAAGTATTTGAGTATTTCATATTTGAGTATTTTTAATTTTTAATATTGTTTTAATGTTTTTTTTTTTTTTGAAAATCATTGTTTTGATGTTATATGACTTATGAATTATCATTAATGTTATTTGATTAAATGTTGAAAACTACCTCATTAAAATTGTCAAACTGCAAGTCTACCACTGTTTTTTTGGCGACCGCCTAGGCGCTGCCTAGATCGCCTAGGCGCTACTCGCTGTCCGGGCGCCCGACTAGCGCCTAGCGCCTACTGCAACAATAATTTTTGGTGAAACTAGTTCTGTGAATTGTGATCTTAGAGCATCCACACTAGTTAATTTTTTCTTAGATTTTTGTGGGACTCATGATTAAGTGGATGATAGAGAAAGAGGTCACGGAATGTATTTTGATCTCTTGCAAGTAATGAGTGTTTTTGTAGATTCCAATGAAAGAAATAAATTGAGAAAGGGAACTGCTATGCTAGTTTCGCGCATAGCAAAGGCCAGCTGGAACCTTTTTTTTTTCTCTTTCCTTCATCTCTCCAACTTGGATTATCAAAAACCGTAAAAAAACTAAATTAATGTGGATGCTCTTTTTGAAAACCAAACGACAACTGTAATATATTAAGAATCAAATAGGTGAGAAATATAATCAGGTGGGGCAGAAACCCACAAACCTAGGACAGACATAGAACCAATCGCCCGTGTAAGAACATGAGTTACATGATTCGCTGACCTACGAATATGATGAATAGAAACCTTCCCCATATTTCTAGCAATTATACGACATTGCTGAATAACCGCACCAATATAAGAATAGTCTAAAGCAACAGAATTGAAAGCAAAACAAAAGTTTAAACAATCTGATTCTAAAACAATATTATTACTTCCTAGATCCTTAATCTAGAATAGAGCTTCTTTGACCACCATGGCTTCAGCGAGATATGAGCTTCTTTGACCGCAATGTGGATGTTTTTAGTTAACACTAAATTATAAAGAGATCAGTCTAAGTTGTTAATATTTGATCTGACCTGATTAAACTGAGAAAAAGTCCATAAGTCGCTTTCACTGGAGTTGAATTGGTGTAAGTGGTGCAGTTACACAATTATTGATGAATAATGAGAGACACCTTACAAACCTAAATAGAGGTTGAGTTGAGGGGGAACATGTTGGGTTAGATTGATGGCAGGCCACATGCTATTGTGGCATAAACATGTAATTCCAAGGCTCGTATGGATTAGGCCTCCCTCGGCCATGTCCCTTGATGTTGGCTTTGCCACTCTTACTTTGTTAACGGCGCCGTTTTTACGTTAAAAAAAAATATTCACGGATGTGATATTAACGGCCCGCGTTTGGTCAGATTATGAATTTTCTGTTATGAGATTATTATGAATGTACTGTAAATTCATAATCTCATAACAGAAAATTCATAATCGCATAAAAGAAAAACATTTATTAAATTATGAATTTTATGTTATGAGATTATGAATTTACTGTAAATTCATAATCTCATAACAGAAAATTCATAATCTCAAAATAGAAAATTCATAATCTTATAAAAGAAAATTCATAATTTCAAAACAGAAAATTCATAATTTCATAACAGAAAATTCATAATTTATGAATATTGAAGAAGCTTGCGCTACAGAGGAGCAGTCATGGTTTCGGATGGGAATGTGTAGGCACGGGTCCAAAGTGAATGTGCAGGCATGGATTCATAATTTATGAACGTCCGAAATCATTGCTCACCTCAAATTAAAGTGAAACCGCGAAATGTGAAAATAAAGAAGAAAAGTCAAGCGATTAAAAAAAAAAAAAAAAAAGATAACGGTGCACTAACACCGTTGGGAGTTGGGACCGTGTTCACCATCCATGGTGAACACGGTTCCATGGCATAACGATTGCCCCATTGATGGTAAGGACATCTCTAGTGATTTGGAGATTTTGATAAGTTTTTGTCAAATTTATTATAAAGTTAGAGAAAAGAAAGAAAAGAGTTAAATACGCTCCGTAATAATTTTTTAAAAAAATAAAAAAAATTAAAGTAATAGTCGGCTAATGACCATCTTGACGCCTCTGTTGGTTACGCACATGAACTGAACGCTGCTACTTATACAAAATTGAGTATTTAGCAAAAAAAAAAAGAAGAAATGTAATCTCTCGCGCTCGCTCTCGCTCTCACCCCTAGGGGTGGCAATGCGGGCTAGGGGTGTAAATGAGCTGAACCACTCGCGAGTCGCTCGTGAGCGGTTCGGTCAACGCTCGGCTCGAACTCGGTCAAAATCGAGCTCGGCTCGAGCTCGAGCAGCTCGTTGATTAAACGAGCACGAGCCGAGCTTAGGTATTGTAGGCTCGCGGCTCAACGAGCCGCTCACGAGCCTTATAATATATTATATAATATATAATATATAATATAATTATGTTATATTTAGTATATAAAAATAATAATTAGGGGAGGGAAATTAAAATACTTTAATAATTATGTATGGATAAAAGTCATAAAACAAAGTAGTTTAAATTTTAAATCAAATAGGTCAAATTCGACATCAAAATTGAACTCAAATTCAAGCCTAAACTCGAGCTCGACTTCGAGCCTGAACTCGAGCTCGAGTTCAGGCTCGAATTCGAGCTCGAGCTCGAACAATCGAGTTGTTCGTGCTCGAGCTCGAGCAGCTCGACAATTGCCGAGCTCGAGCTCGGGCATCAGTTCACGAGCTCGAACGAGCTCGAGCTCGAGCTCGAGCTCGAGCAGTGCTATCATTAACGAGCACGAGCATGAGCCTACCCAAGCTCGGGCTCGGCTCAGCTCGTTTACACCCCTAATGCGGGCCGGCCCGCCTCATTAGGCCCGCCCCACCGCGGGCTTTTTATTTGGCAGATTTTTGCGGGCCGGCCCGTGAAACCTGCGGGCTTGGAACTATACAGCCCAAGCCCGCCCCATGCGGGCTTGAGGGTCTTGCGGGCTGGCCCGCGGGCCATCGCTTAAATTAGAAAAAAAATATTAAATAGTATATAAACATGTTAAAACCGCTTGAAATATGGCACCGAAAACTTCCATAAACCTTGCCCAAATCTTCCGGATCGATACCGCGCGTTGATCAAAACTGTAGAAGGTGATCAAAGCTAGGGTTCAACAGCACACTCTATTTCTCTCTCGGCTTCAGATTTTCCCTCTACAATTCCCGTCTGTATATAATACATATATAAATATGTATCTTTGCTGGACTTGGAGGCGATTTATAGTAATTCATAAATATGTATGAATTGATGATTTAGTTTTAGTAATTGTTTGATAGAGTTGGAGGCGGATGGAGACGGGAGAACCGCAGAACTACGTACTCTAGGAAATTGGCGAATGATTATTGAATTATTGGATTTCTCCCCTTCTGCGTACTCTTAGATAGTCAGATCTACACACTGCCTAAGAATTAAGATATTATATATATGATCTAAAAAAAAAAAGATTATATATATAATTTATTTATTTATTTTTTAAATATGGCCTGGCCCGCAGGCCAGCCCGCAACCCGCGCGGGCTCTGGCCCTCCGCGGGCCATGCCCGTTAGGCCCGCATTTTCGCGAGCCTAATTTCTTGCGGCCCTAACCCGCCCCATCGCGGGGCGAGTGCAGGCTAATCCGCGGGCTTCGGCCCACTTTGACACCCCTACTCACCCCTCTTCCAAATAATCAATTTTTATCTCAAAAAAGGTGAAGAATCCCCCCATTGGGGATACCCTAAAAAACAAAAGTTCTTCCAAAAGGTTGAACCCCAACTCTAAGGCCCCCCACACCCCGACCGGACAGAGCATCTGGGAGGATGTAAATCATGATAACTCAACTAAACATGAACCATAGAGGCTAGACATTTACTCACTGTGCACAAGGAACCTCCCTCACTGTCGCTGGTGAGACTCGATCCCTGATTGTTCTTCTAAACTTTCAACTCTAAAAAACTAAAGTTATAGTTGATATTGTAAATAAGATTTTTCTTTTTTTATTACAAAGGACGGGAGATACCCATACAATCTATGCCTACAACGAGGCTCGAAACCTAGACCTCCAACATAGGGGAGCAATCCGATACCAGTGGACCATAAGCCACTTGGTGATATTGTAAATAAGATTGAGTCATGAGTCATATTCTTATCATTGATTAAGTGCAAATTAAGAATTTAATGACCGTATAATGTGACCAAAAAGGATCAACTGGGTGTGATCGTTGCAACCACTCTGGCAAGTGGACTAACATGGCATCCTTTAGTTAGCTAATGTGGTCAATTAGTCAAGTAGCATAGCAATATTCAAATTCAACAATGATTCATTCATCAATGGTGAAGACTCTCTATATTGTTAGTATTACAAGCATAGACCAAAAGTATTGATTTTTGTAAACGAAATTAAGTTGATATGTATATTTTATAATTATCGAAACTCGAGAAGAAGTAAAAACAAGAATTGACTTAATCACCCTTCAAAATTCATCAATGATTTTATAAACTTTCAAGTTTGAACTTCGTCCTTTATTCCTTATTTTTCAACAACTCTCCAAATAAATTGATCAAATTAGTCTTTGTTCTCAATTTCCCATCTGAACACACACTCTCTCTCTCTCTCTCTCGTTCTCAATTTCCCATCTGAACACACACTCTCTCTCTCTCTCTCTCTCTCTATATATATATATATATATATATATATATATATATATATATATATCAGTTTTGCAAAAACCGGGCCTAGGCACCGATTAATCGGTGCCTAGGCGCTCTAGGCGATCAGCCACTTAGGCGCCCACCTAGGCGCTGATTAGTACAGAAGTGCTGCCCTTGATATATATATATATATATATATATATATATATATATATATATATATATATATATATATATATAGCACAGCCCAAATCTTTGGCAAAAAACTGATTGTGAAGTATATAAATTTATGTAAATTGAAATGCGCCATGGCACAAGTTGACATGTTTTTTTTGAAAGGGGCACAAGTTGACATTAATCTCACTGAATTTGAACATCCAATATAGGTACATTCAAGAGCAAAAAGTAAAAGAGGCAAAGAATTAATCTACAAAAAGCAGGCATTTTGCAGAAGGAAATAGAAAGATTTCAACGGAGCCATGATGCTTGACAAAGGCACGTTCTTTCTACTTTGGAGATTCCCAGAAAACAAGAAAAGCATTCAACTCTTACCCACACTTTCTCCAGTCTCAGCACCTTGTAATATCACATCAACATCTTAAACTCCTAGAAACAGTCACAACAACTTACATTCTCACCCAAAATATGATGTTTTATTCTCTCTGTTCGAGAGTTGTCCCTTATTCGGAACAACAACACTGCCTCGATGCCCGAGGTTGAACATTCAGACTGCAGCCAGACAGAACCACAATCGTTATTAACAGTCCAGGGATGACAATGAATGTTAATCTGCAACTGCAGCTATAAATTCATACGTGAATGTTAATTAAGGTAGTCCACAAGAAATGAATACCACAATTAACAATAAGGACAGAAGCATCGATTTACAGCATGTATTCAAAAGAAGTACCTGGCAAATCGTAGTCGTAGGATCAGGCTGATATGCAGGTAAACACTATACAAGTTCAGGGGGTAAAGTTCATATGTAGTAACAATGCATCCTAAACTATTGCATTTTAACAGTGTTATAGAATACCAAGCAGTGGTTAGTGCCTAGTGGTACTACTAAATGACTTCAATCAGAAATTGTTCCATCCAAACCTATGCTCACCAAATAAGCATGGACAATAACCACAACTCATAAAATATATGATGTTAGACTAGAACCTGAGACCTCGGCTATCCAAATGCCAATTCAACCTTCATAAGTGTTGGCAGCAATTCACTGAACTTGAAATTGTACCTTCTTTATTGACAAATTTTAAGGATGTTGCAGGAATGTGATACACACCCAAGGGAATGGGTGGTTTACTCATGCAAAAAAAGGGAATCAACACAAGATTGGAAAGCAAGAAATCTGGACAGCAAATCAAACAATCAACACACTGATCAAGGGACAAGCTTAAATCATGCAACCTCACAGAAATAAATCAGCTTCTCAATTCTCTCCCTTTACTATATTTATTTTCTGCATTGCATTATAAATTGTAACCTCCTCAAGAGAGGAGGGCATCCAACAATCTTCCTTAGTCTTTAAGCTTTAGTAGCTAGGCAAGAGCCTAAAACTCTTGTTGGGGAAAGTCTTGTGACTTCCTGTTTCTTTTCTTTAGTTTCTAGTCTATCAAAATACCTCCTTGTTCTTTTCTCTAACAGAATGAAAAGTAAATGAAGCTACTAACACTAAAAATGAATTTCCAACAGGTTAGGGGAAAAGGGTATTGTTAAAAGTTCATCAGTCGTAGAAGTAGATAGACATTCTAGAACTGCACCATTGCATTGAAAATTGAAATGCATCCAGAATCAGCACAAAAGTTATGTACTATTTTGTTCGAGATATAAATAATGGACCTATCAATAATGTCAGCTTACCTCAGGCTACCTTCAAGAGAAAACCAGACAAAAGAAATCCCGCAACATGAACTAAATATAAGTGTATAACAACCAATAGAGTAAATAATACCAGGGATCGAACATATTGTGTGGAAATTTGGATGGATGCATTGTCCTGTGGTATGTTCCAATAGAATGGCTGGTAACCCCAGGCATCACTTTTGAATTACGGAAGAAAGGGACGCATCATGCATCCACCAGTGTCCCTGGAAAATGCAGGGAGGCTAATCAAAAATATCCTTAAAAGCTGAATTCATATTCTGCCAAGCAGTGTGGAGAGAGCAAAAGTACTTATTCACACATCTCAAATACATAAATGAAAAAGAATAGTAGTTACAGGAAACATGAATCCATATACTCATTTCAATGCAACATTTCTTTAAATTTTTTTGATAATAAATATTACATAATCCCATAGTTACAAAAATCTACTTCCCAAAAAATCTGAGAAACAACAAGACTGAATATACAAAGTGCAACCTTGCTTTTTTAAAATATATAGGGAAGAGGGATGAAAATTACCCAACTAGAACAGAAGAGACATGAACCTTAAGTATCATATGATGCCTTAGCAGATATTAGGTGTTTTAACTCTCTCAAATGTTCATCATCTGAAATATGGAGTTCAGTAAGGAGATTTGTTAATAATGCTTCTTTTTCCCAAGTTAAGGGTCCAGAAGCATATAATGCCTGCAGAGTGCAGCGATAAGCACGCAACTCTAACCTATGAATAGTTTCGCCCAAACCATCATCTGGAAGAGGGGAATGACTTGAATCCTCATCTCCTAAAGGACAAACCGACTCTGCATCACTGACAAGGGCATCTGACACTTTACGATGAACTGGAACAAAATGTAAACCAGGATTAATTGGACTATTGCTAACAACACTACAACTACCAACAGAGCTACCACTATCAGAATCACTAAATTCTGAGGTTGTCGATGAGGAATGACAAAAGACACCATGTAGTTTTTCTTCGTACATTTCATTACATCCATTTGATATAACATTAAAGGAAGCATGCATGTATTTTTCACCCAGTGTTTCTCTTGGGTAAGCAACAGCGTCTACCTTTTCAAGTGATTGTGATGGAGCTACTAGTCTTTGTCTCTTGCAATTTGTCTCCAAGTCTCTTAGCTTCTGAGAGTTTCCAGGGTATGATTCAACAGTGGATGAGTAGTAAGGAGACTCCCGCTTCAAGGATCTTGAAGAGACCCCATGAGAGTCCTGCAATCTAGTGATGTCTTCAGGGACAAAACACTCCTTTCCTCCACGAACATTAGCCCAATGATCAGATGACGGTGACTGGAAGTTCAACTTTTTATGACAAGTATAGGATGATAATTTACGTGATTTTAGAGCTCCAAAATTTCCAGAACCCTGTTAAAGGAAGAAAAATACCAGATTAGAATGTTATTGAAGCCATGTTGCAAAGAAAACTGAAAATAAATATTTCTGTGTACATTAGTTTTTTTTTATAATCAACCAGCCAGTAACATAATGAAAACTGCATTTATCCTGTCTAATACTAAATCTAAATAATGTTATCAACTTATTCATTAAAAAAAATAAAAAATTCTCATAATTGCAGAGACAAGGCCAAAGTACCTTAGGCAGCAAAACCCATTTTCCATCCTGCCAATATTGTCGGCTTCTCATCTGTGATCTGTGGATGGAAAATTCTTGAGAGCATCCAAGTAGTCTCACCAAATAATGATCTCCTCTCAAAACCTTGAGAACACATGCAACTTTCCATGAGTATTCTTCATTAGATACACATACCTCCACAAGGTCACCAACTACCCAATTTTCTCCACTTTGGACTGGAGGGGGGCAAGGTCTAATAAGCTTCCTAGGAATTTTCACCTCCCTTGATGGACTTCTAAACATGGAACATGAATCATATCTCACTGTGTAGGTATGGTCATTTCCAGAAAGTACCTCAGCAGTATGCCACGAGATTGGCACCTCCGAGGTGTTCATTACCTCCACTTTGTACCCACTTTTAAGCCTCATTGTGGCTATGATTCTTCAAATAAAGCAACCTGATTGTGTTAAAAAAAAAAAATGAGAGAGGTAAAAAGCCAGTGAGAAGCAGACAAATACAATTCCATCACACGATCAAAATGAAAATCAAACATACATCTCCTGGACAAAAATACAAAATAGATTTTTAAAAAACTCTGCAAACACAATCAACATTATACATTAATACTTCACAAAAAAAAAAAAAAAAAAAAAAAACATTATACATTAATATACTCAACTCTTTCAAATCAAATCTAATGAAAATTTACAAGTGAATAAGATGTTAACAATGAAACAGTGTATACTGAAAGCTTTGTCAAACAGGGAATAAAAAGACCAAAGGCATAATCTTTACGGAACGAATCTAAAAAAGAGGCAGAAGATAAAAGTAATTGGTCAACAATGATCCTTGGCATAGCATAAAAATAAATAAATAAAACTGATCAGCTTGCCAATCCAAAAATAAACGTTAGGGTACATAACTAAAATTTCATTAGCAAAGAATAAGTACTCAGATTAAGCTCTAATAGCAGTTAATCACAAATATATACCCATCAAACAGAAATTGCACAAAAAAATAAAACAACAAATTGGTAAATATAAAATTGTATAACCAGTATGAATTAAACCAACAAAACAAAACAAAAACAAAAACAAAATCAATCAATCAAAACTGAAACTTACAAAAAATAAAATAAAATAAAAGCAAACACCTAAACTTAACGCATGAAATTCAACCAAACAAAAAAACTCACCTTTTCGAGAAATTCAAAGAAATCTTTTGATAAAAACTGCTCCCTTGAGCTCTTGATTGCCTTCTGTATTATCTGCGACGATCCAATTTGAATTGGGAGTAACTAGGGTTTGTTTCAGATTGTGCTGGTCGAGATGATGATAAAATTGGGGAAAACTTTAAACTTGGAGCAGTGAATAAATATGGGTCGTGGAGTCGTGAGGGTATTGTTGGAAGATCAGGTGAAAAGGTGGTTTTAATTTAACTTTATAAATAATAATTAAAAAAAACTAAAAATTAACCAGAAAATAGGATTGTGCGTAACGCACGACACCTATCATAAATCGTCGTGTAAGTGTAGGGAGTTACTAAGCCACGCTCCTGACTTGGTGCGTGGTGCACACGATCTGTTTCAAAGTTGGTGATGATGATGGAATGGAGCAACCGAAATGTTTTCAAAAGTGGTTTAATTTTAGTTTGATTAGGTTTGACGTGATAATTAAATAGTGTTTTATAATTTAGATTTCTCTCTAATAATTTTTTGTGTATTTATTTATTATTTAGTATGATTTGTATGTTAAATTATTTGTTGGTTAAGATATTGAAAATAGTTATGCTGTGTGGAAACGTATTTATCTTGCGCATGGTGAACACAATGATAGATTCATAATTTATATATTATAGATTTATAATTTTTTTTTAAAACGTAGATTCATAATTTTTTTTTTCATTTGTTGTTGTCGGGATAGATCCATAATTTCTAAGCTGTATATTCATAATTTCTATACTGTAGATTCATAATTTTTATATTGTAGATTCATAAAATCTATACTGTAGATTCATAATTTCTATACTGTAGATTCATAATTTCTGTACTGTAGATTCATAACATCTATACTGTAGATTCATAACATCTATACTGTAGATTCATAACATCTATACTGTAAATTCATAATTTTTGTACTGTAGATTCATAATTTTTGTACTGTAAATTCATAATTTCTATACTCTAGATTAATAATTTCTATAATGTAGAGTCATAATTTCTATATTGTAGATTCATAATTTCCGTACTGTAGATTCATAACATCTGTAACAACAAATGAAAAACAAAATTAGTTTTTATAAAAAAAAAATGAAAAACAAAATTATGAATCTACGTTTAAAAAAATTAATAAAAATTATGAATCTACAGTATAAAAAAATTAAAAATTATGGATCTACCCCCATGTTCATTATGCGCATGGTGAACACGTTTCCACAGCATAATTTGCGAGATATTGATTATTGCGCAAATTATGTCATGGAAACGTGTTCACCATGCTTGGTGAACACGGTCCCAAAAGGCATCATTTTTACCCCCAAAAAAACAAACTAGTTAATGTGCTATTAACGGCGTTTTGCATTCTATGTTCAGATTAGGAATTTACATTTATTAAATTATGAATTTTCTATTATGAAATTATGAATTTACAGTTATGTAATTATGAATTTACAGTTATGTAATTATGAATTTTATGTACATTCATAATCTCATAACAGAAAATTCATAATCTCATTAAAGAAAAGGATTTATTAAATTATGAATTTTCTGTTATGAGATTATGAATTTACAGTTATGTAATTATGAATTTTCTGTACATTTATAATCTCATAACAGAAAATTCATAATCTCATAATAGAAAATTTATAATTTCATAATAGAAAATTCATAATCTCATAAAAAAATATTTATTAAATTATGAATGTTCTGTTATGAGATTATGAATTTACAGTTATGTAATTATGAATTTTCTGTACATTCATAATCTCATAACAGAAAATTCATAATCTCATAATAGAAAATTCATAATTTCATAACAGAAAATTCATAATCTCATAAAAGAAAATTCATAATTTCATAACTTCACATTCATTAATTCATGCCTGCACATTCATAATTTATGAGTGTTGAAAAAATTTGCGCGAAGAGGAAGTGAAACCGCAAAATGTGAATATGAAGAAGAAAAGTCGCGCTGTTAATTATTATTATTATTATTTTTTAAAGAAGATTGGTGAAAGATAACGGTGCTCGTAGGCATCGTTACCATTTGGGACCGTGTTCACCATGGATGGTGAACACGGTTCCATGGCATAACGATTGTGATTATTGGGTGAAGGTTTTTTTTTTTTTTTTTTTAATGGTTTAATTTTTATAATTTTTTAGTTGGATTGATGAATGATGGTTTTAGGGTTTTCGGACCCAAGGAGGTCCAACACAACCTTTGGTCGGAGGATACACCTCTCAATAATATATATGTCTAACTCAGAGATAATGCTAGTGCTCGGAATTTCTTTGTTATTCTCCCCTCTTCCGGGTGTCCGAAAATGTCTACCTTTTACAAGGATGGAGGAGCCTTTATATAGTGGCTCCTCCTATGCCGACTTGAAGGCCCTTAATGGCCGACTTCAAGGCTAATCAAGATATGGAGCCGTTGGACGCCATTACTCGGTCGACCAACAGCTCTCCTAGGCTTGTAACAGCCCGACCGGGTCCTGTCTTCAATGCTTCAACGGCTCTCTTTTAAAGGAACCCCTTTAATGCCCTCAACGGCTCCTCGAGCCGGGTCTTTTCCTGGGCTTGGGCCTCGGCCGACTCCTGGACTCGGCCCGACCGCTCTTTGGGCTCCTCTCGATGCTGGCCCACTTCTATTTTCTTTGGGCCCCTATCTCTTGGGCCGGGGTCCTTACCCCATCAACTAGTCCCTCACTTTTCCATACCCGGTCCTCCAACCTGGGTTTGGAAAAGTAGCAACCGCTCGTCTCCTTTAATTACCGTATCCGTGCCCGGAATAGCCCCTTGTAACGTCCGGATCATCAGCCATCCTCCCCGGATCTCGCGGAGCCGTTGGGATTCTTTCATCTAGGCTTGGTACCTATAAATGGCCTCTTCTCTTCTCTCTTATCTTCTCAAGTTCATCATGGGTCGCTCTCCCTTGAAAGGGAAGCGAATTGACTTCGGGTCTCCTTGGCGTCCGCTGCCTTCTAAGCGGACTCGACCTGAGAGGGAAAGCAAGAAAAAAACTTCTCGTCCGACTCCTCGGAGATCTCCTGCTGGTGCCACCTCCTCGGCTTCTCAGCCGCCGACCCCACCTCAGCGAGAAGTCGTGCCGCCTTTGCTTCGTCCATCGACTCCAACAACCGCCAGGGTGACTTCTCAAGATGGATCCTTTGTGGAGGTGGCCGTCCCTGAACAATTGACTTTCAAAATGACTTTTTCCATCCCGCTGGACGACCTGGACGGGCCGGTCACGGGCCTTATGGATGACTAGGATTACGCCCGCTACCTGGAGGCGTATCCGGATGATGAGGAACCCATTGCGCCGCCGCTCATGCCAGCTTTCTGGGACTCGTTCTGCCCCTCTCCCCCTGGACCATCGGGGGGATTCTTTGGGGGCGACTCTTCCTCGCCTGGCGAGTGATCTTGTGTACCGGGGTCGGTCATAGCTCGGAGGGATCTTTTTTTGGAGCATTTTCATATTCCTTTATTGTAATAAGCTCCTTGCTACTTGTATCCTCCTTTTCCATAATAATAATAATAAAAAGCGCTATTTTCGTTTTGCCTTATGTTTTGCCGTGTTTTGTTGCGTACCCCTCCGGACGACTGGTCAAGGAGTCGGTCACATCATCAGGTTCTTTTCAGTCTGACACCTGCAAGATTCCCCATAGCTCGGGTAAATCCAATATTCTCTATGTTGGCGTGCGAATCTTGCTCTTCCCGGGTGGATCTGATGGAACTAATCTCTGACAAAGATTCTCGTCATCCGTCCAATCCGGCTCAGTTATGTCAGTCCCCTCCGTAATTATCGCCTAGCTATTCGCCTTCCCTGGGCTATATAAAGACCCTTCACAGTTGATGCAAATCGCAACACTCTTTCATTTTGCGAAAGCACGGCGCTATGAGTTACAGGGATGGTGATCACCGCTGGTCCATTCGCAACAAGGAGCATGCTCGACTGGAGCAGTTGAGGCAGAAGAGGTTGGCTAACGGAGGTCGTTTGGTGGGCGACTCGGCTTCAGACCCCATCGTGGTGCCTCCGGACATGCTGGACCTGATGTGTAGGGAGCCTATCGACGTGGAGATGGAGCCCGTGGTGGAGGATCCAGGACCAATGGTGGAAGAGAAGTGGGAGGCTCCTCCCCTCTTTGGTGTTGCCATGTCGCCGAGCGCTCTGGAGAGGCCTCTGCAAATGATTGACGATGGGAAGCCGGCCGTGTATCTGGACGAGATGCCAGAGCCTGAGCCGAGTCCTCTACCATTCCGCCCCCAGTACTTTCTAGAGGGTCCTCCGGCTGCCCGCTCGTTGACAGAGAAGGAAGCCAAGCCATGACTCTGTTTTTCTTTTGTAGTTTGCATCGGCCGAGCCCTGGGCCTTGTAATCTTCGTACTAATTAAATAAACTGTGTGCTTTTCTATCCGACCCCGCAATTTCTTACTATTTTGTCGCCCGACCTCGGATCTATGAGACCGACCCCTAGTCTTGCTATGGCGAGATCCTCCTGCTGAGGGAGTCGCCGAGTCTGATCGCCGACCTTGCAAACGGAATCTTTTTGCGAGCTTGTCCGGTATCATCTGATGAGCCGGGCTCTATCGGGTAGCTTCTAGAAGCTTCCTGCTCGTATCTCGTGGGCCCAGAGGCCATGGCCCACTACGGTCGTCCAGCTTAACAGGCCGGGTCTCGTGACGTTCGACCCCTAGCCTAGGACAGACGCGTCGTCTGTGGGCTAACCCTAGACCTGAACCGTCGCCCCGCCTTTTGAGGCATTAAATGCGGCGTCCCTTCACGTCTCGTCACCTCTACCTCCTCCAACGAGAAGGTGGCACGTGGCTGCCCTTTGAAATTCCTACCCTTCAAATAGCCACTTCGTCTCTTTTTCCACTTTCTTCTCCAGTCTTCCTTTCCAGCTTCAACTTCGAGCTTCTCCGGCCACTCTGTTCCTCCTCCGATTTCCCTCCTGACTTAGGTAATGTCTTCTTCCTTACGTTCTTCTTCTTCCCGTCGTTACTCGGTGGATAACCCCGAGGCGACCTCTCCCTCTTCTTCTTCTCCTTCTTCGTCTTCTTCTTCTCCTCTTCGTCGTATGGAACTTCCGGCGGACGTTCCATTGACGTCTTCCCTCCGTCGTGTGGAACTTCCCTCGGACGTTCCATCGACATCTTCTCTTTCTCC